AAGCTTCACAATGAGCTATAGGTTGTGAGTAGAACTATAGTCAATCCTCCTGTCTCTAAGGACATTGGTAGCCTAATTCTTTGTGGTTTTTACTTTATAAAATTGCTTATGTTAATGTCAGATTTGTACGATTCAGGTCAGCCTGTGCTTCAAAGATTAGAACAGAAATCTCACCTTTATGTAGTTTCCATTCTTCCCTGTCCTTGTGGTTTGCGTAGGTGATCATTTTTATTAGACTGAACATAATGCTTTACCTGTAGTAATAGTTCCTGGCAATTTCTTTTATAGATTTGGAAAGTTAAGATTCTGTTTGTCTACAGTTCAAGAGTAAAGATCTTGAAAAAAAATTTCCACTTTAAATATCACACAGATCAGCACTGTTCCACTAATAACCCCTTCTGTCAAGCATTCATTATCTTACCAGCTCACGTAATTGAAACCAGGACAGAAACGTGTGTGTTGTGGTACACAGAAGGACAGCTAAGGCAAGCAAATGTACAATTTGTACAGTCTAAATTTTTAAAAATTCAGCATTACTGTATATAAAACAGTTCAAAAACTTTAAAAATAGTTTGTTATGAATTACTAAAAATAAACAGTTTACCTTTTTATTTTCCATTTTCATTTTTAACCTTTTTTTTTTAAAGTCCACAGATGCACTTTTGGTGGCAATCGACTCTGAAGTAGTGGGAGCTGTTGATATACTACTTAATCATCGGCCAAAACGATCATCAAGACCAACTGTAGTAGTTAGTACTCAAGTATTTATTAATTTGGATTTTTAAACCAAAATAGATATCCTGCCCCATTTTTTTTCCTTCCCCTAAGTTTATTTTGCTTTAAAGAAATAGGTTTTGTTTTTTTTCACTATGTCAAATATTACTTTATGTAAGTAGATACTTGCAAGAATAATACTGCTTCTGGGAAATATTTTTTAAGCTAGTGATATTTCCTTAATTTTGTCAGTGTGGACCAGTATTTTTAGTTTGGAATATTCTATAGTTTATGTTGAAAATACAGATTAGTTTCTAGTGGATTTAAGAATTAAATGTAAACAGTCAAACCTTAAATGTAGGTGAATATTTAACTGATTGGGAATGGATGGACTTTCTAATCATAAAAGCAGTAGACAAAAACTCAGTGGCAAAGATCAGTGTCTTTGACTATAGAAGTTAAATTTCTGGAATTCAGTTATCATGCAAAATTTAGAAAGCAGATGGATAACTGGGAAAAGATATTTGCAGCATATATCACACGTTAATAATTTTAAGAATATACAAATTAATGAAAAACACCAGATGATCAATTTTTTGAAAAACACCAAAATCGTAATAGAAAGGGACATGAAAAAAAAATCTCAGAAAAGAAAGTGCAAAATATTAAACCATACTGATAATCAAATACAATGAGATATAATTTTTACTTAATCAAATTAGCAAAGATTAAAAAAAAAAATTATTCATGGCAAGAGAGTAGCACAGTCTCATACACCACTGGTTGGGAGGCTGTTTTGCCAGGATGTATCATGAACAAGAAAAACATTCATATTCTTTAACCTGGGGCGCCTTCCTTTGGGAACCTATCGAGGAAATGATCTAAAATGTGGACAAAAATGTTAATGGCAATCTTATTTGTAGTGGTAAGAAAAGAAAGAAGGAGAGGAAGGAAGGGAAGAAGGCAAGTAGGTAGGCAGGAGCACCAAGTGAAACAATCTGAACGCAAAATAGAGGATCGGAAATATAAATCATTACATAGACATACAATGGAATAGTATGCAACCACTGAAGTGGTATTTTTATGAGTATTTTGAAACATGGAAAAATATGATATAAGTGAAAAGAATGAGAATACTAAACTGTGCATATAATATAATCCAAAGTTAAAAAAATGCATAGAAGAGGGACTAACGGGTTATCTCTTGTCAAATTAACGATATTTTTTTCTTACTTTTAAAAATTTTACTTATTGTTTTTGTAATTAGGAAGATGGTCAGCAATAATCAAATAAATACTAATTTTTTAAAAGGAGATATTTGTCTATCAAATTTTAAAATTTCAACATTCATTATTGGTGAGGTTATAGTGAAACAGTTTGAATAACTACTCGGAGTGTAAACTGACTATAAACAGAAGAAAAATATTGTTTTGAAAAGAATTATAAATTGGTTGCAGATTACCTGCCATGATCTGAGAACTGTATAGATTGCATACTTTATCACATATTAACTGAAATATTTTACTCTCAATAATAAGGGGAAAAAAGGTATTAAATATTCACTTAGAATATTATTAAGTTTGTATAAACTTAGCTTTGTCTATAGGATTGTACTACTCAGTTTAAATTGTGGTAAGAAGCCATAGGAAGAGAGGAAAAAGGGCTAAGAATATAGTTCCTGTCAAATGGATCAGAAATATCTAGACTCCTATTCAATCTTCTGTCATCTAGCATGCATTTCCTATTTTAGTATGGTGTGCCTGGTCCACCCTCTAGCCTTTTAACCCATTTAATTTTGTGAGGGAGGAGCTCGGCGGGGTGTAGCGTGCTAGGGTATTAGAACCACTGACTGGTATTATTTCATTGCCATTACCGTTCCCAGTGGAATGTTAGAAGGCCTTGGCAGTCCTCACCTACTCAGTGACGAATGCTTTCTACTATATCTCTAACAAATCGAAGTTATCCAGCCCTTGCTGGAATGCTTACATGACAAAGAGATCACATTTTAGCAGCCCTGTTACTTCTAGACTGGCAATATAAAATATTTTTGTATACTTTTCCTTTACCACTTGAGTGAATCATTCTGTATTCTTGGCTTAGCAGAATTGTCTTTTTGGTAATTAGCTTTCAAAGGTGGATTGTTTGTTTGATAGTACATAGATTATATTATGAACAATGAAATTATGAACTTCAATTGTATGCACCTGTAATCAAAGTGTTTCGCAGATAGTTAAACATATTTCATAGGAAAAATGGGACCATTTTTCTCTTGCAGAATTAAATATAGTTTCTCTTCGTTATAACCAGTAATGCAATGATAAGGGAAAAAAGGGTGAGATTTTTAAGTTTCTCTATAATTTTTAAAATTTTAAAATAAATTCATTGATTTGAAGCCCCCAGTAAATAAATGGGCAAGTATATAAAAAAAATTCATAAAAAGAAATAAAAAACAATAAGAATGTGGGAAAATATTCAAATTTGCCAGTAATCAAGGAAGAATAAACTAAAATTTTGTAATAGTATGTTTCACTCATCAAATTGAGAGTGATTATGTGCAGTGCTGGTGAGTAAAGCTTTAGTGTGAAGTGGGTACATTCCTGTATTACTGGTAATATAAACTATTAAAAGGACTTTGACAAAATATATCAAGAGCTTCAAAACTGTTTATGGCCTTTAGACCTATAATTCCACTTCGAGGGCTCTATGTTAATGAGATAATACTAAACTAAATTTGGAAAAAGTTGTATTCATAAACATGTTTGCAGTAGTGTTATTGAAATTAACTAAATAAAATATCTCGAACACAGGATCTCTGAACCCCCTTAAATTGCATTCAAAGTTCGGTGCAGGATATTCTTCTGCTCATCCTGGGCTATAGCTTTATAAAACCAAGACCCATTGCTGTGGAGTCGATTCCTACTCATAGCGACCCTGCAGGACAGAGTAGAACTGCCCCCATAGGATTTCCAAGGTGGATTCAAACTACCGACCTTTTGATTAGCAGCCGAGCTCTTAACTGCTGTGCCACCAGGGCTCCATAGCTTTATGAGATTATTGAAAAGTCCTTGATCCCTAAAATATTAAGAGCCATTGTTTTTAATCATAGGTGGTTGGCATCCCCACTATTTATGCAAAAGATGTGGTAGAGAATGGACTAGAAGGAAATACTGTACTTGAAAATGTTCTTTGATTAGTAGAAATATGGATGTTTTTATTTTTTCTGCTTTTCTGTATTTTTCAGGTACTTTATAAGTATGCACTACTTTCACAATGCTAATAAAAGGTACCAAAAAAAAAAAAAAATGGTGAACTTTGTGTGCTTACACTATGGAATCAAACAGCTCTCAGGGACACCTGTGTGAACAAGTGAGAAGTACTAGAAAGGATATGCAATAGTCATAAAATAGTCAACCTTCTTATTTGATTCGATCCTTTAATTACTAATATTTCTTTCCTCATGTCACGCCATCCAGGCCCATGGGCTGATGAGGTAGAAGGAGCTCAGACTCCAGAAGTGAAGCAGACGTGGGTTCCAGTCAGCAGTCGGCCACTTTATTGTGTGGCTTGGGCACATTAACTTCTCTGAGCCTCAGTTTCTTTGTGAGGATTATGACACTTAATTTTGCAGGCTATTGTGGGGATTAAATGAGATGATAAATGTAAAGCGCCTAACAGTTCCAGGAGTCATTAAATGGTCGCTATGATTGTTAGTGCTTTTGTGCATCTGTAACAGGAAAGTAATACAAGTAACAACTGGGAATGTGTAGAGAATTATGTAAAATAAATATTTCCTGTTCACTGATCCTTTCACGTAGCTTCACTGCTCTCAATGTGATAGGTTTGTCATAAAGGTGAAATTGTTAAAGTTTTTTTCATGCATTTATACTCTGCCTGTTTTTGTTCAATTTCTGTTTTCCCATTGTATTCCTTTTCCAAAATTCTGGTCTTTATGCTTGCCATTATGCATACTTTCATAATCTTGTGAAAATTAAACACTTTTTCCTAAAATATTTATCTAGATATCCTCACTTCGTCTTTGTTAGGAAGATACTACTCTAATCATATGAATGTTTCCTATTGAAATTTTTATACTGTTAATGATTTAATTGTATTTTAATTAAAGTTTTGGGGTTTCTTTAAAAAATTATTCCCAGTAAAATATTTATTGTATTCCTTAAAATAATTCATACGTTCCTTCTTTTTTTTTCCATTTCATTCTTCAGATAAACATGTTTTCTTAAAGTCATGAATAATAATTTTTGGACATTTATATAAATATTTTTCAGAAACTAATGGAACGGATTCAGAATCCTGAGTATTCAACAACGATGGATGTTGCGCCTGTCATTTTAGCTGCTCATCGTAACAACTATGAGATTCTTACAATGCTGTTAAAGCAGGATGTATCTCTACCCAAGCCCCATGCAGTTGGCTGTGAATGCACATTGTGTTCTGCAAAAAACAAAAAGGACAGCCTCCGACATTCCAGGTTAGAAAGTAAAGATTTTAATAAATAGATGTCTGATGCAGTAAGGTGTATGTCAGTGATGTTGGCTTTTTTGTTGGTGTTTGCTCTACATAGCTTTTAAGAAATATGATGCTAGGGTGACTTATGATAGCCAAATTTCTAGCCCCTTTGCTTAATACACAAGTTCTGCGTTTTTTAGAAATGCTTACTAAAAGCTGAATAATTAGGAAAGTTCTTCAAGTTATGAATAAAGTATATCTCATGCTCCTGCTGGGGGAGGGACTATTTGCTTTTTAGAAGTAGAATTTATTAATCCAAGAGATTTTAAACTGGTAGAAAGGTAGAGGTACCACTTCCTACCTTATTTATAAGGAAATAAAAATTATTTTCTATCTAACTAAATATTTGACCTGTTACTCTTCTCACTTTCCCTCTCACACTGTATTCAAGTCTTTATTTCTCGTCTCCATTCATCTCTTCCCATTCTCACCACTTAAAAATGGCAAGAAGACCTGAGTGGTGATTGACCAAGAAAGTACTCTGTCTTGTGCAGGTTACCAGGATCACAAATTTGGGCATGTTGTATAAGGTGTATAGTTCTGGGCTATAACTGAGAATATAATTTTCAGCATAGACTTATAGACATATATGCACACACATATATGTATATATGTTAATTAAATATAGTTGAAATAATATCAACTAAAATGGCATTTTCTATGGGAAATGGGTTCTGGAAGTCCCAGGTAGCCCATAGACAAACTGTTGTTAAGGTAAGGATTGTTGTACACTACGTATATGAAATTAACTTTAAAGCTGGGCACTATCCACCTTCACTTCTTCCTCACCTTACGAACAGACCTTTGGTTGATTGACAGGTAGTTACAAATCCATAAATTGGGAGAGTCACCTGCAAATTAATTTAATATTTATTTGCGTAGGTTGAATTGGAGATTTTTTTTTTTGTTTTCAAATCTTTATTTTACAAAGCGATTTATGTTTCTCTTTGATAAGATCTAGTTGATAGCTATGACTATATCACCTAACTTTTTATTCTTAAAATGATTAGTCTGTAAAATGACAAGCAGAAATGATATGATATTTAGGACTTCTTCCAGTTTTTAAATCATTTATTAATATTAAATGTAAATTAATAATTTAATAATTAAATTAATCTGAAAGCTTTTGGAGAAGCTATAGCCTGAGCCAGGTCTTCAAGTATGAGTAAGAATTAAAAGGTTAAAGGCATTTTAGGCAGAAAGTACAGCACGTGATTATGGTTTATTTAGAGGACTTTAAGTAGTTTGGTACATTTCTGGAGGAGATGAGTGAGTTTGTTACTAATGCTTGAGAAAACAGTTGTAGCAAATGGGAAGGGCCCTGTCTTAGTTATCTAGTGCTGCTATAAACAGAAATACCACAAGTGTATGGGTTTCACAAAGAGAAATTTATTTTCTCACAGTCTGTTGGCTAGAAGTCCAAATTCAGGGCGTCAGCTCCAGGGGAAGGCTTTCTCTCTCCATCGGCTCTGGAGGAAGGTCCTTCTTATCAATCTTCCCCTGGACTAGGAGCTTCTCTGCATAGGAACCCCGGGTCCAAAGCACGTGGTCTGCTCTCAGCACTGCTTTCTTGGTGGAATGAGGTCCCCAACTCTTTGCTTGCTTCCCTTTCCCTTCATCTCTTGTAAGATAAAAGGTATGGCAGGCCACACTCCAGAGAAACTCCCTTTACATTGGATCAGGGATGTGACCTTAGTAAGGGTGTTACAATCCCACTCTATTCCTGTTTAACATAAAATTACCATCACAAAATGTAGGATAACCATACAATACTGGGAATCGTGGCCCAGCTAAATTGATATACACATTTTTGGGGGACCATAATTCAATCCATGACAGGCCCTGACTAAAGTCATTTCTAGGAGTTGTTAGGTAGCAACTGAAGAAAAAGGGTGGCTAACAAAATGAGTAAAAAGAAGTGGGTCCAAGGTTTCAGTTAAGTTGAGAGTCAGTGTCCTGTCAATAAGGAAGTGAGACAATCTATACTTACAAGGTATTGTTGTTGTTGTTGTTTTTTAAGGTTATATTTTATTGTGTTTCCAGTGAAAGTTTACATAACAAATTAGGTTCCCATTTAACAATTACTACACAAATCGTTTGGTGACATTGGTTACATTTTTTGCAGTGTGTCAGCATTCTCATTAATTACATTCTGGATGTTTCATTTCCGGTAATCTGGTTTCCCTGTCCCCTTACCCTTTCATCTTTGCTTTAGAGTAATTGTTGACGGTTTGGTCTTATATACATGATTTTTTAAAGGTGTGTAGTACTCACGTAATATTCTTTATTTTATGAGCCAATGCATTATTTAGCTAAAAGGAGACCTCCTGGGGTAGTTTTAGTTCATGGTTAAGGAGTATCTCAGGGTGATAGTCTCAGGGAGTCCTCTAGTCTCAACAGGTCCAGTCAGTGTGGACTTTTTCAGGATTTGAGTTGTTACACATTTTTCACCCATTCTCTCAGGATCTATCTATTGTGGCCCTGATCAGAGCAGTCATTAGTGGTAGCCAGGTACTATCTAGTTCTTCTGGTCTCAGGATAGATGAGTCTTCGTTCCTATAAACTCTTAGTCCTGTAGACTACTTTCTTCTCTGAGTTTTTGGTTTCCTTCTTTCTCTTTTGCTCCAGATCAGGAGAGACTGATAGTTGTATCTTAGGTGGATGTTTGCAACCTTTTAAGACCCCAGACACTACTCAGTAAACTAAGATGTAGAACATAAATTTTATGAACTGTATTATGCCAGTTGATGGAGTTGTCCCATGAGACTATGGTCCTAAGCCTTCAAACCCAGAAAACCAGTCCTGCGAGGCATTTGATTATGTCTAAGAGGTATCTATGACTGTGCCTCCTATGTGGTGTATTATATATAAATATGAATATACATATGTACACACACATACATGTATATACACATACATATAGATACTTCTGTAGTGCACACGTGTACATACACATACATACCCATACTCATATATGCATCTATACATACATATGTAAACACACACATATTTTTTGGTGGTTGGTAGTGTTGTTGCAAGATTGTGTGTGTCATATCGTTTATCAAAAACATTCTTTTCTCTTGTGTACTTCTTAGTGACGGCATTTACCTTGGTCAAGCTGTGCGTTCTTCGCTCACATTCAGTGCTATGTTTCCCATCCCCCTATTTGTGAATAATGACAAATTACTCATCTTTTTTCAATTTTTAAGCCTTAATTTCTTTTCTTGCCTTATCGCACTGGCTAGAACCTCCAGTATGATGTTGAGTAAATGTAGTGAGAGCAGACATGCTTGCCTTGTTTCCGATCTTGGTGGGAAAGCATTCAGTCTTTTACTGTTAAGTATGATGGTAGCTGTAAGTTTTTCATATATGTCCTTGATAAGATTGAGGAAATTTCTTTCAGTTTCTAGTTTGTTGATTTTTATCATGAAGTGTTGAATTTTGCCACGTTTTTACTGACTCTATTAAGATGACCATATGATGTTTGTTCATTACTGTATTAATATGTCATATATATTAATTGAGGGAGCCCTGGTGGTGCAGTGGCTAAAGTGCGTGGCTGGTAACTGAAAGATCGATGGCTTCAATTCACCAGCCACTCCATGGGAGAAAGCTGTGGCAGTCGGCTTCCATAAAGATTTACAGCCTCAGAAACTGTATGGAGCAGTTCTACTCTGTCCTATAGGGTTGCTATGAGTCAGAATTGACTTGACAGCAGTGGGTTTGGATTTGGATATATTAATTGATATTTGAATATCAAACTAACCTTGAATTCCTGGGATAAACCCCACTTGATTGTGGTATATCATTTGTTTTATATGTTACTGAATTTGATTTGCTAATATGTTAAATATTTTTGCGTCAGTGTTCATGTGGGATATTGTTTTATAGTTTCTGTTTCTTGTGATGTCTTTGGCTTTAATATCTGGCTAACACTGATAAATGAGTTTTGAAATATTCTCTCCTCTTCTATTTTCTGAAAGAGTATGTGTAGGATTGGCATTATTTATCCCTTAAATATTTATCCCTTAAATGTTTGATAGAATTCACCAGTGAATCCATCTGGACCTAGACTTTTCTTTGAAGGATAATTTTTAATTGTTATATTAATTTTCTTAAAATAGGTCTGTTCAGATATGCTGCTTATTTTTGAGTCCATTTTGATAATTTATGTTGTGCTAGGGATTTTCCCATTTCATCTAAATTGTCTAATTTGGCATAAAGTTGTCCATAATCCCTTATAATTTTTTTCCTTTCTGTAGTGTCTCTAGTAATGCCCCATTTTCATTTCTGATTTTAGTAATTTGTATCTTCTCTCCTTTTTTTCTTGGTCAGTCTAGCTCAGAGTTTGCCAAACTACAGTCACTGGGCCAAATTGGCCTACCAATTTTTTTTTTTTTTTAGGGGGGGCAGTAAATAAAGTTCTATTGGAACACAGCCATTCCCATTTGTTTATATATTGTCTGTGGCTGCTGCCACTTAACAGCCAAGTTAAGTAGTTGCAACAGAAACAGTATGGGCCTCAAGGCCTAAAATATTTATTATCTGGTTCTTTACAGAGGAAGTTTGCTGACCCCTGTTCTAGCTAAAGTTTCATTAATTATATTGATCTTTTCCAAGAAGCAACTTTAATTTCATTCATGTTCTCTGTTGTTTTTCTGTTTTCTGTTTCATTGCTTTCTGGTTGGCCTTTTATTCTTTCTGTTCACTTTGGTTTTGATTTGCTCTTGTTTTTCTAGGTCCTTAAGGTATAACCGTAGCTTATTGATTTTACATCTTCCTTTCTAATATAAGTGTGTAAAGTTATAAATTTCCCTCTAAGTACTGCTTTATCGGCAGTCCATAAATTTTTATATGTTGTGGTTTTGTTTTCATTCAGTTCAAGATATTTTCTAATTTCCCTTGTGATTTCATCTTTGATCATGGGTTATTTTGAAGTGTGTTGCTTGGCTTTCAAATATC